CAAATATAAGCCGTCCCTCCTCTACACCCGTCACTATCGACGCGAAGTTGTCGTCCAATAGAATCATATCCGCCGCCTGTTTGGAGACATCAGACCCGGCGATACCCATCGCGACGCCGATGTCTGCTTTCTTAAGGGCCGGCGAATCGTTAACTCCATCGCCAGTGACGGCTACTATAGCTCCCTGTCGTTGACAGCCTTCCACTATAATGAGCTTCTGTTGCGGTGATGTCCGGGCGAACACAATCTCGGGATGATTTAGCAAGAGATCGTCCAACTGTTCGGCACTCAATTCCCGCAGTTGTTGGCCGTGAATGACGGCCGCCTTCGCCATCCTCGGGTCCACGTCTTCGATGGCTATATTAAGCCGAAGTGCGATGTCTTCGACCGTTTCGTTGCCCTCCGATATGATGCCGACTGAGCGGGCGATGGCCTTCGCGGTGATGGGATGATCGCCGGTAACCATAATTACTTTAATGCCGGCGCTCCGGCATTTGGCCACAGCGTCGGGAACGGCCGCTCGGGGCGGGTCTATCATCGACACGAGACCGATGAAACGCATACCGCTCACCGGGAAGTTGCATTCATCAGGGTCGAATGGGAAGCCGGGCGGGTATTTCTCGGGACTCAACTTCTGCTCGCAAAAGCCGATCACCCGCTCGCCCAGCCCTCCCAACTCGAGGTACGCGGCGTTGAAGGAGTCTCTCATCTCCTGATCCAACGGCAGTTCCTTTCCTTCGATGAATATACTGGTACTCCGCTCGAGGATGCGTTCGGGCGCCCCCTTCATACACAACAGATAGGAGGGGTCGTCCTCCTCGGTCTCGTGGATAGTGATGTGAAATTTGTTGGTCGAGTTGAACGGCAATTCACACACTTTGCGATTGCGAGCCCTGTATTGCATGACATTCCCCACCGACAACTCCATGCACTTCAAGATGGCTGACTCGGACGCGTCTCCGGCCACGTCTCGCTTGAGGATCGGCACCAAATCCTGGCCGGCCTTAAACTCGGCCCTCGAGCACAGGCACGCGTTGCGGGCCATGGCTTTCCAACCGGCCGACGACTTGTCAAACTGAGCGCCGCTCTGGTCTTCGGTGGTGTCGGCTTCGATGATACGGTTGTCGAACCACATGTGGGCGACAGTCATCCGGTTCTGAGTCAGAGTTCCCGTCTTATCGGAACATATGGTTGACGTCGAGCCCAGTGTCTCCACGGCTTCCAAGTTCTTCACCAAACAGTTCTTACTCGCCATACGTTTGGCAGTGAGTGTCAGACATACGGTGACTGTGGCTAACAGTCCTTCGGGAACGTTGGCGACGATAATGCCAATGAGGAAGATAACGGCGTCCAACCAGTGGTAGCCCAACACGAAGGCCACGACGAAGAAGGTGACGCCCAGGAAAACAGCCACTCCTGTGATGATGTGAATGAAGTGCTCGATCTCTCTGGCGATGGGGGTTTCGCCCATTTCCAGACCTGAGGCCAGATTCGCGATGCGACCCATAATAGTGCGGTCGCCGGTGTTGATGACCA